TTGTATAATATATATATATATATATATATATATATATATATATATATATATATATATATATATATATATATATATATATATTATTATATTATTATATTATATATATATTAGTATTTGATATTTCTTTTAAATTGATACTGGAGACAATCAGTGTTACACATAAAGCAGAGATTGAATTAGCCCAAATTATTATTTTTTTTTTTTCATGTAGATCAGCAAGTAGTATGTTTTAAAAGTTTCTATACAATGTCATGATAAAATTATTTTATGTATTCTGGTAAATCTGGTTCCAGACAGTTGAGAAAGTGAAGTAGTCAGACTCGTGTCACTCTTGACTGCTGGTACTAGGAGATGAGCCCACTGCAGAAGTAAATAAAAAATTGGGTTACATTATTTTTTACAAAACAGTGAACATAAGTAACACTAGAAGTTTTTTTGTTGTTGTTGTGCTAGTTATGTTCTTTCTGTGCTTCTATTGAAACACAGCAATAAATTTTAAATATGAAATTACTTACGTTCAGCACCAGAATCGTTAGATGGACTGATTTGTCCTAAAAGATACAGAACGTGTTCATATTCATGACTTAGAAATGTGCACACAGCTGATGCTCTATAAAGTTTATTAACAGAATGTATAGATACATAATTGGCCAAGCTGTATGAAGAAACGTTTCAGATGTGCTTTCTGTGGCATATTTCAATCCAAAGCTGCCTCATATGCTACCCAATATATTATTGATCCTTGCACAGGAAATGAGCCATATAGATATCTACAAGCACAGAGGGCATAACTGAAAGCTTGTCACTCAGACAACTCAGAGTTTCCTGAATTCTGTTTAAAGTTTTCCACGTTAATTTTTTCTGCCCTTTCATTTGGACAAGCCACAAATGTAAATGTAAAGGTAATTTATGTTTCCTTGAACAGCTTAGGATAGGTTTGTGAGCTATACAAAACATGTTTTTTTTTTCTTTTTACAACGTCATTCTTAGATAATGAGGTTTCAGTCTGGTCAGTTCTGACTAGTTTGAGCTCCTTCCAGAATGAGCTGTTTTAGGGCCACTTGTGACTTTAAATCTAAATAAGCTGCTGGCCACGCTCCCTAATTCAACGTTGAAACAGTTTCAAAGTTTAGAAAATCGATGTGTGTGACTTACCTGATCCAGAGGAGTCCTCAGAATGTAGACCTACACAGAAAGACATATGTTTACATATCATTGAACCAATAAACAGTTCAGTATTCTAAAAAAAAAGTCCACCTTAGAGTGCATGACATGTACTTTCAACAGAGTAGTAAGGTGAT